TGGTTTGGACATGTCCAGAGGAGGGACAGTGGTTTGGACATGTCCAGAGGAGGGACAGTGGTTTGGACATGTCCAGAGGAGGGACAGTGGTTTGGACATGTTCAGAGGAGGGACAGTGGTTTGGACATGTTCAGAGGAGGGACAGTGGTTTGGACATGTCCAGAGGAGGGACAGTGGTGTGGACATGTCCAGAGGAGGGACAGTGGATATATTGGTAGAAGGATGTTAGAAATGCAGCTGAAGGAAAAAAGACAAAGAGGAGACATATGGAGGTAGTTGGACAGAGGACACAGAGGACAGATGGAGGAGGATGACTCGCTGTGGAGACCTCTGAGGAGGGAACAGCATAAAGAAGTTAACAGAAAGTCATACATTTCTCAAAGTCTGTCTCGAGCTAAGACATTTATTAATTGAATTAATAATTTTGATTATTCGTTTCTGTTTTAAAATCTTGCCTCAAATAAAAAACGGACTGAAGATGAAGATGAAGATGAAGACAAGCGTCTCTAACAATCAGTCTCTGGACCAGTCCTCTCGGTCCCGGGGACTCGAACCCCCACCTATCAGAGGCTCTGACCGCCTCAGACTCTCAGGGTCCGCGCGCATTGGCCGCTCCGCGCGTCAGTCGCGCGTCAGTGGGCGGGGCTTTGCGGAGGGCACGAAGGGAGGTGGGGCGGCTGTCAATTGTCTCTTGTCCTGCTCAAAAGTCCTCATGTTGTTGGTGTGAGTGGAGGCAGGCGGCTTTGTTCGGCTGACCCGGACCCGCTCCGTGTTCCGAACCCTCGAGACAGACCGTGGACGTCCCTGTCCCCCCACAGGCGGCTCGGACGCTGCGCGCGCGTCTCGTTGTTTTTACCCGAGCAGCAGAGTCTGGAGACGGAGAGGACTTGTTGCGCGTCTCCGGAGAGCGCGCACGGTTTCGGGTCTCATCCAGGCTGCGCGAGATGGTCCGGTTCGGGCGGCTTTAGAGGAACTGGGTTCGGACTGTGCAGGGCTCAGCTCAACCGGAACCGAGCAGGCTCGGAGCGATGAGCGCGCGCAGCAGGAAACTCCTGGGAGCTCCGCTGAAGACGTCCCTCCTGGCATAAAGGAAACTTTATTCAACCTGTTTGGTTCCGAACTGAGCTCTCCTCCTGCTCCTGCTCCTCCTGCAGCCCCTCGATATGTCTGAGCGTGATGGTCGCGGGGACGGGGGGCTGTGCAGCGACGGAGCGGAGGACTCCATTCCTCCGAGGGCGCCTCGCGGCCGGCGCAGCGGCGTCATCCTCCCCGGCGGCGGCGCGCAGGACCCGGACTCCATCCTGCTGGAGAGCGTGAAGGCAGCACCGCGCAGGAGCAGCATCATCAAGGTACCTGGTGTTTAAACTGACACCCCCCCCCCCCCCACCCCCACCCACACACACACACACACCCTCTTTCATTCTCATATCGGTGAAAATCAGCCAAAAAGCTTGTTTGAAGCTCAGTGACAGATTGACTTCACCCACTGCCCCCCAGGGTCAGTCTTCAGGAAATATGATGTCTGAGGCTGAAAAGATCAAGGCTGTGGTCCCCCCCCCCCCCCAATCCCTGACGCGTTTTAACGCGCATCCATCCACCCAGCAGCACCAACCACCACCACCACCTTAGAGGTTCTCAAACTTTTCATTCCGCGCCGGTTTGGAGGAGAACCTTTCACCCCATAAACAAAGATTACATAATAACAATAATAAAATTCATCATTGACATCAAACATTTAGTTAAATAGTTCCTTTAGATTTGTGAGGAAAAATGTGCATTTTATGACATTTTTCTTTCTAGATTCTATTTTGAATTTATTTTCAAAATGAAGAACAAACAGGAACTTCTCTAAAGAGCTGCTTCTTCAACAGTGGTGGCTCGTGAGCAAAAATATTAATCGGGCAGACATCAATTTTCTCAATGACTAAGTTTCAAATTACGTTACATTATTTGTGGAAAAAATAATATATGCTGTTTAATGCTTAATTCATTCTTGCTTTCTCTCCTCCCTGCCCGGCGGGCTGAGGTTGAGTCTTGTGAAAAACAGTCCAGTCTAATAAATCGGAGACTTGAGGCCTCCCGGCCCCTGCCACAGGTGCACAGCTTTGGATGTCTATTCATTTTGAAGTAATAAGTCAGAAATAACGTACCAGATTAACAATTAAATAAGAGGAAAGTTAATTGAAGTAACTCTAAAAATAAATAAAGAAATAAAAATAAGATTTTTTTTAAATAATTTATTATTACAGATTCTGTTAGTTGTTACAAGCAGGGATCAAACCCACACACTTTTGATTTAACCACAGACTATAAAAGCCACAGTCTGTTGCCTCCACAGAACTGGTTAAATAAGATCCTATCATGGTGGCAAACGCCCCCTTTCTTCGTCTCTTCTCTGTCCTCCTCAGTTTTGTTTGTGTCCCCTCTGTCTGCTTCAAACAGATTGATACAGAATATCTACACTGTTGGACTCAGCAGGTTTCACTACAGCTCGGAGCTCAGTAAGGTTTAGGGTTAGTAGCGGTCATATCAATGCCCTAAAACCAGCTGAATGACAGGGCTTCTCAGCGAGAAGGTCACTGGTTTGAATCCCGGCTGGGGGTCTTTCTGGGTGGAGTTTGCATGTTCTCTCTGTGCTGCGTGGGTTTCCTCCCACAGACCAAAAACATGCATGTTAGATTGATTGGTAACTCTAAATTGTCCCTAGGTGTGAGAGAGTGAATGATTGTTTGTCTCGTTTGTCTCTGTGTCCCTGTGATGGACTGGAGACCTGTCCAGGGTGTCCCCTGCTTCTTGCACAGTGACTGTTTGATTTGGGCACCAGTGACCCCCATGACCCAAAAAGGAAGAAGAGAATTAAGATAAAGGACAGATGGATGGACGGTTGGTTGGATGGATGGATGGATGGATGGACGGTTGGTTGGATGGATGGGTGATTTAGTGAATGGTACTGCTCCATAAGAGTAAACACATTTAAAACTGGGAATAAATCCCTGAAAACCATTTAAAATCTTCAAAATAGTTGAAAAGTACAGAGAACCAAACAAAGCACGGTAAGCTCAGTAAATGGGTAATTTACTTTGTTTATTAGGAGGAACGACTTTGTGTGGTGAAACAATATTTTAGGCCCGTTTGGACTGGCGGGCACCGTAAAGAACAACAGTACAGTTCAGTTTGTTCCAAAATCCAAAGCTTGAGCAGGAATCAGTCAGAAATGTTGAGTTCTTTCAGTCGACGTTTTATTTTTCCACTGGTGCAGCGTTTTCCCACTTGGACCATTTTCACTCTGACACTTTGTCCCTGATATGAAGTGACACCTCCTCCACACAGCAAAGCCTCCTCATGTCTACCCAGGTCATGCGTTGGCTGACCAAAAAGGAACGGACCCACTCTCCACAGTCCAGCATGTCCTTGTCTCATTTGAAACATCACAACAAAAGCGACACCCCTGTGTCCACGCCCCTCATCGGGGTTGCACCCCACAGTTTCAGAACCTCTGACCTAACTTCACCTTCCACAAACTTAATGTTTAAACTTAGTATTATTAAAGTCACCTGAAGGAGAAGTTGTTACAAAAGTACAGTTCTCCGTACAAGCCCTCTGCCCTTTTGGCATGCCGCTGGCGTTCTGGTTCCGGGCTCACCTGTGCTCAGGTTGCAGGTCACTGGGCCGTACAGAGGAGCAGATCAGGTTTGGGGTTTCATTACCGATCATGCCTAACATGTCCTCTCATTAGAAGTCCCTCCACCTCAGGTGATCAGGTGATGTTTCTCGTGTGTTGAGGAAATGCTGGAATGTAAACAAGCGGTCTGCATCGAGGCGCTTTAGTAGAATCTGTGGAAGTGGGAGCTAAAATGTGGACAAACCGCCGTACTAACGCTTTTCTGGTGAGTGCTCTGGTTTGGAGGGTTTTGTGAAACTAAACAGGAACAGATGGACTTTACAACTTTGAGTTTAAGTAATAATTCAGAAATAATGTGCCATATTAACAGTTCAATAAGAGAAAAGTTAATTTCTTAATGGGCGGCTGTGGCTGAGTGGTTAGAGCAGTCATCCTTTAATGGGAGAGTTGGAGGTTCAATTCCACCAGCAGTCTTATGTCGAAGTGTCCCTGGGCAAGACACTGAATCAGTCATGGTCTCTGATGTGTGTCCCATCGGTGTCTGAATGTGATAAAGCTCTGATTATTCTTTGTACAGATCTAGTATAGAGCTGCATGAATGGGTAAATGAGGACAGATTGTTGTAAAGAGCTTTGAGTTTGTTGATAAGAGAGAAAGATGATATATAAGTACAGTCCAGTTACTGTTTAATTGCAGTAACTCTAAAAAATAAAAGTGAGAAAATTTTGAAAGAATTTATCATTACAGATTCAATTAGTTGTTACAAGCAGGGGTCAAACCCACAAACTTTTGATTGCTAAACCAATGATGTAACCACTGACCTATCACAGCTGCACAGTCTGTTGCCTCCACAGAACTGGTTAAATAAGATCTTACCATGGTAGCAAACACCCCCTTTCTTTGTCTCTTCTCTGTCCTCCTCAGTTTTCTGTTCGAGTCCCCTCTGTCTGCTTCAGAAGGATTTGTACAGCATATCTCCACTGTTGGACTCGGCAGGTTTCACTGCAGCTCTGAGCTCAGTAAGTTTTAGGGTTAGTAGTGGTCCTATCAATGCGCTAAAACCAGCTGGATGACAGTCTGACACCTGTTCTGATCCATTTGACAAACATGGTTCAGTGAATGGAGGCATGGCGGTGCGGTTGGTAGAGTTTTTGCCTTTCAGTGAGAAGGTCATCGGATCGAATTCTGGCCGGGGGTCTTTCTGCGTGGAGTTTGCATGTTCTGTCCGTGCTTGCGCGTGTGTTCTCCGGGTACTCCGGTTTCCTCTCACAAACCATCCATCTGATCCTGTCAGCTCAGCCCTCAGATTTCCCATTTCAGGAGAAGGTGGCCTCTCTGCGTTCGATCATGGATGAGGGTTAGCTCCATCCGGAGGAGCTGCCCGACACAGAGACCTTTAACTGCTGGGCAGGAAGTAGATGAAAAGTTGGACAGAAGAGGAGGAATGTTCCACATCTACTCCTCAAAAACATTGGAAACACGGAGGATTAAAGGCATTCCTTCTGCTGCCGTTTAGGCTCGAGATCTTCTGAGATGATTAGAGAGCACTCAGTGAATCGGTTCGTCCTGATTTTACTACCAGTTTAGCTCAATGTCTGTAAAACTGACTGACTTAAAGGTGTCAAGAACATGATGACATTTATTTAAACCACTTTAATCTACTTATGATACGTAATCTAAAAGATTGTGCTGTAAAAATATGGTGCACGTGTCGCATTGAGTCTGAAATCTGGGCTGGACTGTTTATGAAGCTCCCCCACAAATGTGAAAAAGTAATGAAAGAATAACAACGTCCATGCTCAATAATCCAGGTATACAATCCAACATTTTTCAGTCAGGTCATCTGGACAGTTTCTTTTTTGTGCTGAAACGTTTCGCCTTCGATAATGAAGGAATAGTTTTGATTTATTTATTTAAAGTTCTTTGAATTGCCCTGATGCAGTTGGTTCGCCGAGTTGACCCCTGAAGAAAGGAGCAGCCTAAAGACAGAAAACACAACTTTAGATGTTCTACAGATACATTTGTTTTGCCGTCGATATCAGCGACAAAAAGTCTTGATTGGGACTTGAGTCAGTGCACCAGCTTGTGTTTGAAGGTTTTCAAAAAGTATTTTCAAAGTTGTCAAAAAACTACAGACCAGGACTGTAGCGCTGTAAGTCCTTCTTAAGGAGGACTGCACAATAACTGCAGTGGTACAGGTTCTGATCTAAAGTCTGACGTGGTGGTAGCTGAGAGTCCTTCACAACACCCGCTCCGATCACGACACCTCGTCTTGTTGCACAGCGTTGTTTTCAGTGCTGCAGCCGCTACATCTCAGTCATTTCTGAGCATCACATGGTCTTGATCCAAAACTGGCACATTTATTTTTTGTTAAAGTCAATTAAAGATACAAAGTTTGTTTTCTCAGTCATCCAGGTATATAACAACAAAAAAGGTTGAATCATGTCATCTGGACTTCGTTTTTTTTGTTAAAAAGAAACGTTTCGCCCCTCATCCAAGAGGCTTCGTCAGTCTGAGGCCTAGCCATCTGGTATTACCCAGAAGCCACCCTGACTCTTGTGTTTCAAGCCTGCCTCAGATACCCCCTGAAGTCTGGCCAATTAAAGATATTTGATAAAACGACAACAAAAAGGGACAAATGAACCAAAGAGTCCAAAGAAGCTCAGAGGTGCAGAAACTCGTGCGTCTCTGACCAGATGGCGGTGGTGTGAGGCGGTGAGAGTCAAT